AGTTACTCGAAATTGCCCCTTTTGCCCAAAGCGTCACTCATCAATCAATCATCCCACATCCTGAAACCAACACACCCTCCAACAGCAGTCAATTCAGCCATCAAAAGCGAACGTCTCATAGCCATCAGCTCAATCATCATTCCAATTCCCGTCCCAGATTCCAACCCCGAAATTACTCAAATCAACCTGCATTCCAACCCCGAAATTATCCAAACCAACCCAGTTTCCAACCCCGAACCCCTCACCATCAATCTTTTCAAAACAATAACTTTCCCCCACGACAGTCCTTCCCAGTTCAACGCCCAAACCACACTACCTACCTCATAAATACCACACCAAGCAATAGGCAGTCTCACGCTTCACACACTAGAGCACCATACATTCCCCCGTTCAACACCTACCCAAAACCACATTTAAACCCCAATGGGGGAGGACAATAGGCGGTTACCCCTCTCCCTACCACAACCACACAACCGCTAAAACAAACAATTGTTACAATAAACCAACCTTCGCATACAAACCTCAGGAAAAATTATCATCACCAAAAATTAAATCTATAACAGCACCACTAAATGATTCCGCACTTTTAAACATTAAAATAGCCAATCACTCAATACCAGCACTCATCGACACAGGAGCCTCATGCTCGATTATATCGAAAGCATTATTAAATAGGGTCAGATCAATCAAGGGTGTTATAGTTGGACAGATACACGAAGTCAATGCCACCGTTACAACAGCTTCCTCCATTCCACTAAAATTAACACATTACGTACACCTACACTTTAAAGTTAATTATCTCGCATGGACCAAAAAATTTTATATCACTAGTCACCTTCCCGTAGAAATCATATTAGGCCTAGATTTTTTAAATTCAACAAAAGCAGTAATAAACATAGCAAAAAATTCCATAACATTTCCATACACCACGCCGTTAGTTCTGTCATTAGGTCAACCGCAACAAAGTGACGACAAGCAGGAGCCATCAGCCCCTAAATTCGGTCCCAACTTGAACTCTGAACAACAATGTAGGTTAGAAAAGTTGTTGTCCAAGTTCCCAGACACAGTTACCAAAACATTAGGCAGAACCAATCTAGTTCAATATCGTATCAGCATTAAACCAGACCACGTAGTACGTTGCAGACCATACCAATTTTCACCCCCCAAGACAGAAATTTTGCGACAGCACATACAGGAACTGCTCAAAGATGGTGTCATACGCGAGTCAACCTCAGAATTTAGTAGTCCAGCGTTCACAGTACCAAAAAAAGGTGGTAAGACCCGCATGGTAATTAATTATAAGGCGCTCAATCAAGGCTTGACACTTGAAGCCACACCAGTACCAACCCTAGAGTCAGCATTCCAACACCTTGGCACAGCTAAATATTACACATTGCTAGACTTGAACCAAGCATACAATCAAATACCTTTGCATCCAGATTCCAAAAAATACACAAGTTTTGTTGTGCCATGGGCACAATACGAATTTAACTACGTACCCTTCGGACTGGCAAATGGTTCCATGGTTCTTACAGATCTGATGAATAAGGTTTTTGGAGACATCAAATTTAAATTCATTTACAATTTTTTCGACGATCTAGTAATATATTCAAACACCTTCGAGGAACACTTAATTCACATACAGGAAGTACTACAACGATTAAACAAAGCAGGTTTAACCGTCAATCCTTCCAAAATGACCTTAGCGTCCAATCAAATTGAGTTTCTTGGACATGTGATAAAGGATAACACGTTATCAGTCAGTAGAGAAAGAACAAAACCAATCGACACCTTCCCAGTTCCAAAAAATCTCAAACAAGTGTCTAGATTCTTAGGTATGACAGCATTTTACTCCAAGTTTATTCCCAATTACGCCAGCATATCAGCACCGTTAAATCTTTTAAAGAAAAAAGGCCAGAAATTTATTTGGGGACCAAATCAGCAAAAAGCATTTGACCAACTTAAAGCCGCACTCACTCGAGACCCAATCCTTAAAATGCCAAACTTCGAGCTGCCCTTCGTTTTACATACAGACGCCAGTCGCAACAGCATATCTGCAATCATCTCCCAACAATATGACGACGCATTGTTACCTGTAGCGTACGGTTCCCGAGCGACCAATGAACACGAGAAAAACTACAGCGCTTTCGAACTAGAAGCCTTGGCAATTACACACTTTTTCGACAAATTTCGTACATATTTGGAACATAGGCATTTTGATCTATACACAGACAGCAACGCATTAACATGGCTTCTCAATCACCCTAGGCAAGTTGGAAAAATAGCTAGATGGGTAACACTAATTAACTCTTTCCAGTTCACCGTACGACATGTAAAAGGCCGCGATAACGTCGTCGCCGACTGCTTATCGCGAATGTTTGAAGAAGTACAGCTTGACAACTCAAATACACCACCCTCACAAACACAACAAGTCAACCTACTTTTCAAACTCCCTGACGCGTTCACAGACATCCCCACTTACCAAAAAGAAGATCCCGCAATTCAAAAAATTATAAAATCTCTCAGATCAAACAAACCACCCCCAAATTACTTCATTAAAGACAACATTCTCACACACAAGTCCCCGAATCAAACCAAACACCGCATTGTCATTCCAGACCGTTTAATCCCACTATTATTCAAATACTACCACTTAGCACCTAGTACAGCACACTTAGGAATTAACAAAACATGGTCCAGGATTGAACCACACTTTTGGTCTCCCACATTAAAACAAACCATATCAGACATGGTACGATCATGCACAGATTGCCAACGCGCCAAACAGGCACCAAACACCAAAGTAGGTTTGTTGTCGTCAGAAATCCCTACCAGACCATTTGAGAAAATTTTCATCGATTACATTGGCCCGTTACCCAGATCAGTAAAAGGAAACAAATACATTCTCACAGTTGTTGACGCATTCTCTAAATTTGCAATATTTTTACCAGCCCGCAATTCAACAGCCAAAACCACCATATCACTATTAAAAACAGGAGTTTTTGCCTATTTTGCCTTCCCCAAATTTTTAGTATCAGACAACGCATCCCCCTTTCAGTCAAAAGATTTTTCTGACATGTGCCTAGAATTCGGAATTAAACACATCACAACAACACCTTACTATCCAAATCCCAGTCATGCCGAACGTGTAAACAAAAACATAAAAATAGCCATCAGAATCTATCACTCTCAAAATCAAGCACAATGGGACACAAACCTTCACTTTTTCCAAATTGCTCTAAACTCAGCCAAACACAACAGCACCGGTTTCTCACCAGCAGAATTGTTCCTAGGCTATCAAATCAATCACCCCCTTGAACTAAATTGGAATTTAGACCGTCTCATTCCGGACCAACCAATAGATATCAGACACACATGGGCACAGGCACACAGCAACCTCAGAAAAGCCAGAGAAACCAGAACAAATCAATACAACAAAGGACGCCAACCAGTTGAATATAAAGTAGGTGATTGGGTGATGTATCGATTAAATCATCAAAGTAGCGCAGTGAACAAAGTGAATGCTAAACTTTTACCAGTTTGGTCCGAACCCCTAATAATTCAAGCCTTCACTTCACCAGTAACTGTAATTTTGGTAGACCCAAAGTCAGGGAAAACAGTTAGGAGAGCTCATGTCTCTCAATTGAAATCCTTTTTTCATCCAAAAAATTGAAACACACGACCAAAACAAAAACCGCATTGCACACGTATCTAAATGAAACCGCACACAGGCACCAGTGATATTAGGTTAGTTAGTTTGTAAGACCACCACCCTCACACCACACTTAACACCTGTCGCCGGCATCCACACTGGCGAAGCGCACTGAGTCTAGGGTGTCACTTCTCTGAGGTGTCATCTACAGTAGCGGTCGCCAGTGTGTCGCTCGCCCCGACAGCCTCACACTTACACTTACACCCACACGCCAACCCCCTGACACAGTCACAGGTTAGCTAATTTTTTATATTTTTTGAAATTTGCGGTCGAGCCATAACCTTTATTTTAATTTTTTTAATTTCAACAGCTCGAACCTGCAAACTGTGACTTGTGGAGGGAGGAAGGCAAGAGCTCTTACACTTTCACACATACACTCACACAACATTACACCAGTTACCGGAATTCGTATATTATATTTCATGTTTCAGATATTTGTGTAATATATTTATTTGTTATTTGTTACTATTTATTGTATATTTACTGTTGTTATATGTTATATTAATTTACTTGTGTTCAACAGCATATATATTTTTTTTTTTAATGGACCAACGTGACACCCCAACCATGGAGGTCACCCTTTCTTCCGTTTTTGCTGCTCGGGGGAGGGGGGGAGATCTTGTGGAGTCAATCTCCACAACACTGTTTGAATGTTCCGCCAATCTCAACCCCTACCGCTGCTCGCGCATGCGCAAGGAGGCAAGCGGGTAAGACGAGTGAAAAACGTCTGTCGTGTGTCGTGCTCCTGACTGCAAACACCATGGAAGGCTAAGTTCTTGGGAAATGGGGGGACGCCCCCTTAAGGTATTGTGTCGTAGCACTAATTATTGATAATATGTAATTTCAGATCATGGTATCGATTCACTATAACATTCTTTCTCTTTCCATTATTAGTAATTCATCATTAAATAAAATATTAGTTCACGTTGTGTCCAGTCAACTCATACAGTAATTATTTCATAAGTTGAACAATGTACATATTTCTGTGATATAAATGCATTAATTAATGAAACAATCATCAAAGCTGGCTATTAGGGCCTGTGATTTGCGGTAAATTGTCTCCTCTGCATCAATAAATGTGTTCAGTTAACGTTTCCAACAAGAACGATTTGGTCTGGAATTTAATTCACATGACCAGGTCACCAAAATGTGGCACCATTATGCCACAGGAAAAAAATTAGAAATTAAATTAAATTTAACATCCATATATGATGTGACCCAATCACCTCACAACGATAAAGTTTTGTCTACTCATCCACAGAATGACATTAGTAACTATTTTTCTCACCTCGCGCTCCACGTCTAAGTAGTTGTGGGGTACGTAGCCCTCCTCGCCACGGTAGTTCCTGGCTCTCAACCAACCATCTCCGTCTCCCTCTCCAATCACTTCCAACTGTTCGTTCTCCACTATCGATAACTCATCTGGGTTTTGGGCCTAAAACAATCAGTGTAAGAATTAACTTAGTACTAAAGTAAATCCACACATTTAACAGCGTTAATCATTGTACATATTTTCCCCTCCTTATACTAACAATGTAACAACAATCAACCAGTACCAATAGAAAGTGTTATCCTTAGGACATTCACTTAAGAAGTAATACATGTTTTAAGCTGTAGAGTACCTGTAGGTAGTATAAATAATCCAAAGAGTTACATAATTAATTCTCTTTGGTACAGCTGTTAAAAGTGACTGTTTTTTAAACATTTTTTACTCTTAAGCTTCTTACAAGTTGTGATGTAGGAAAATACGTTAGATCACCACTCACAGTGTAATTGTAGAGAGCAGTGCACTTGTAAGTGACCGTAGCATCAGGGTTGGCTACAACTGTCTCCGCAGTGTCTGTCGTAACTTCACTAGACTCCTCCGCACCCCAGTCTACTTGCGTCGGGTCGTCCCAGCCAGCTGTTAGCTGCTCTATCCTCTGTCGCTCCTGCTCTAGCATGGCTGCCAAACAAAGTTCAGCATTTAAAAATAATACCTTTAATGGTGGTAGTTTTCACAAGTTCACTAAAGAGTACTAATTTATCTTCTTTTTTTAAATAATATCAACAGTTTATTTCCATCGGACTACTTCTCTGTGCGTGATCTAAAGATATGTTAACCACAATAGTCTTCTCTAGAGATTTTCCAACTTTGTCTAGAATTTTTTACCAACTAACTTGACACTTTTTACTAAACTTGTTACGTTTTAGGTACCAGCTCACCTTAGTTTATAATCAGACTGAAATTCACTAAACCTGAGTAGATTTGTCATTCTTATGGATCGGCTTAAAATAGTTTTATTGTTAGTTCCGTCTGGTGCTGCTAGGATTGTATATTTGTTTATAATTTGTTTCTTATTATTTCAGTAATTTGAAATCTCGATTAGCCAAATAAAGCGATCCAATCAACAACTAGTCCCCTAGTTATATAACCAAACAGTAAAGCACAAATCATAAAACCAATCCTAAAATAATAGAAAGCAAATTTTGTCAAACAAGTGCCCCAACATGAACTAGACACGAAAAACAAGCTGCAAATTTTTGCAATGGTATGAGAAGTCTATTTGTGTTCGTTAGTATGACTATGCTTACTGAATTTTCCACTGTGACGTTTAAGAAATACTCTATAGTGGTAAACGGTACAGTAAAGGTTTTATAATCATCTCACCCCATTCTCCGTCCACTTCAGACGTCTCCGGCTGCTCAACAACCTCTTCCTCCTGAGATTTCTCCCTCTCGGCTCCGACTAGGTCTGAACTTGCGTCGTTGTAGTCACTATCGTACATAGAGTCGGACCCTGGAGGCTCCTACGACCAAGAACATTTCATAGGAACACCACAGATGTCAGAAAAACAGTTTAATTTAATTACTGACTTAACCTCTTGACAAATCATCTTATTGAATTTTAATTTTTGTGTAAAGAGGAATTCCTCATAGTATGTAGCATTTTTATATACATATATGCATTGCTCGATTCACAGCGGAACAGCGTTCTGGCACTTCTCTTTTAGAAAGATAAAAATATTGGCAAATAGGTACTAATCACATTAAATAGGTTACAGTTCTGACACCTAATTTTTTACAACCCAAGCACTGCATATATATTTATATTGTAGGTCTACAGCTTCTTCGGCTAGCTGCTAGTCCATAACTCATGTTGGAAAAACACCTACAATACAATGTTTTAATGTGTGTTAAAATAAAGTGTTTAATAAAGTTAAAAGAACTTATCACATTCATTCATTACGTAAAATCCAAGGCTTTGAAGTTTGAAGTAATGCTTTTACATATAGTACAACAATTTTGAAGTCATAAGTCGTTTATTGCCACAAAAACATTTACATTAATCTGGTTTTTCCAGATGAAACAGGTGACGTTGTCACTGTTATAATATCCCCTTATTCCCTCCACCAAGAACCTTATCACACTTTCAAGAAATAAGTTTTTTTGGTTATGTTGTAGAATTCAAGACACCAACCAACAAACATAGCAAAATATTCTCCCAAAAATATATAATTCCTTTTTCCACAATGCTCACAATTACACCCACTTGCATTCAAGCATGGTCCATCAATACTTCAAAGAGTGAACCGGCAATACTTCAAGTTGTGAGTTGGTGGCTCAGTCGGTAGCGTCGCGGACTTCGGGCCCAAGGCAGGGCGCTTAGTCTATGTGGATGGGGAAATACAAGGTTAAAAGAGGCCGCCACCCTCTTTAAAAAAAAAAGAAAAGAAAAAAAAGAGTATCACCAGGATTGGTGTCAGTGCTCTAAAAGAAAAGTAGAAACCAAGATTTAAGGGGAGTCGCTACTAAAAATTACCAATTTGTAAAAAATATTATTTTTTTATCTTTCTTGTTCTACGATGTATAAGGTTTCGGAAAACACAACATATGGTATAATGTATATTTACCTAACCCGCCATGTTAAACTTCCCTATCCCAAGCGTGATGTATACAACTTCCTTACTTCTCGAGTGCTGTAAAGTATCAAAAACTCACTCGGTGATGTAAAGAAACCCATTTAAATAACATTGAGTGCTTAACTTAAAAAATATAACTCTATGGAGCCAACGACGTTCAACGCTAGAAATCAGCTGTACGCTTGAATGTTATTGTTATGCTTTAAAGTATTCTCCTAACCTAGCTTTTGCAATTTTGTTAGTAAAAGAACGTTACTGATAGAAATGGATAGTGAAAAATATTGTACGTAAACCCATGTATATTGTCGGGTCAGGTAAAATCGTTTACATCACTTAGGTAAATTATGCATTCACCTGCGTGTTGTAAAAACGCTCTTACTACACTTGTAATGTAAATAGCTATTTTACCACTGTGAAAAAAATATTTGAAGTGGAGCGTGTACACCTGTTTCGGGACATCAGACAGAGACAGACTAGGCAACTATGACCACTGTCAAACATACATTTACAAACATTGGCATTCTTAAAATTGTGTGTACATTGAACATAGTATTGAAGGTTAGTATAAACTTCAATCCCTGTTTTCCGCAACTCTATAAAATTTTTAATTTTTTACATAATAGCTTTTTACCTATTAAAACCATTTGAATGAAATTTTTACCACACATTGTTTATACTATAAAGCAACTTTTAATTACATGGGAATTTTCTTTTAGTTATTTATGAAATCATAACACATAAACAAATTGAGAAAAATACATGAGTATACACAAGAAGTTAGTACTTTCTTTGCTCTTTAAAATGATACATCAAACAATAAAATTGGTTCCGTAGTTAAAAAGTTATAAGAGATTTTTTAAACCCATTTTTTCCAAAAAAAAGCTCAAAAAACTCAAAAAAGTATATACAATTTGTTTTTTCACTTTAACAGCGGTAAACATTTTTCTAAGACTAAATGATCCTAAAAAAGTATGTATGATAATTTTAAAAGGATTTTTTTATCACTAATTTCAGTAGCGACTCCCCATAATGAAAGCAGTTCACCTTGGATAATCAACCGAATTTTCCATGGGGTACACCTTCTTACTAACGAAAACCTCCATTTTGTAAAATAATAAGTCAGAATGATATCTAAGGAGTACATCTGTGTTTTCTCACCCCAGCTCCTGAAGCATCAGTGTGTACAGACATGGAACTGGCAGACCGAGGCAGGTCTTGAACACTCAGGTTGTCCACTTCTTGCATCCATTCCTCTACGTTAACTGCAACATGACAAAACAACAAAACTATTAGAGTGATGTGTAAACCGAACCTGGAATCCATCAAATCTGTTAGAAAATTTCAGTTAGTAATTTGGACGGATGAATTTGTGAATAAATTTCACGTTCACACTTACTGTCACACCATCACAACTCTGCGTTTGCTGAAGACAGTCAGAGTAGTTTATTCTTAATAGAGGTGTACAAAAGTTGTAAAAATTCATTAGGCCTACAGAAGACTCCCTCTAGTTCGGCCACCTCGGGACCAGACCACTGACCGGACTACAAAACGGCCGGACTAACCGGATGTAGTGCATTTTACACAATCAAAATACAAGTATTGCGCAATAGTGATATGTTAAGTCATTAACCTTGGTTCAGTAATAAAAACTGTAACGTTTAAAATCACCCTTACTCAAGCAAAACAAAAATTACAGTACACTGACAGCAATAAATCACGTAAAGAACAGAACAATAGAAAGTCTAGTACTGCAAGCTACTGCAACCGTAGTCAGCATAGGCTACTACTACATGTTGTTTCAGAACATAAGAATGTCGATAAAAACATCAGATAACTCATAAAACAGCATAAAATCATAGTACTTAGTCTTAAAGATAATAACGACAGTCGTAATATAGGATAAAGATAACAATGGATGACGTAAAACACCGCTTATTCTTTCTTCTTTGATCTTTTATTCTTTCTTTGGTTTCTCTTCATCCACACATTCAACAAGTTGCCATCGTTACTTATCACCCAATCACAAACTGTTGTGAGATAGCAAGCGCACAGCAGACATCAGTTGTATAAAGAGCAGATGATTGTCATTTTGTCAGTGCAAGCGGATAGCTTGACCTTAAAGCTAACAATGGCTATTTATTTGTTTTGCTTTAATTTATTTTTGTCAAATAAACTGTAATGTTTCAAAAACAATAACGGGGGAACCTACTGCATTAAAAATTGTTAGAAATATTTAATTATACAATGCATTTCAACATATTAGACTGAAGAAAAACTATTATATAAAATGTTCTTGGTATTTTTGAGGTTATGTAAGATAGTTTTTCATAGGTAGTATGTAACAATTCACCCATAGAAGCACCCATCAACTAAACTGACATGAATTGTTTACGGTACTTCTATGGCCGGAAACTAAACATTCAAGTTGAATCATGTCGAAGGTCATTCGCCCGTGACGATATGACTTGTCCCCCTGAGACCGGCCCAGACCATCGATCCAACCAAAGCCAAACTAGAGGGAGTCTACTGTAATTAAAATTTTTTTTTTATTTGAATAAATAATGGTTGTTTTACAAGTTAGAAATTCACGATGTAATTGCAATGGAGGAAAATGATCTCAATGCCATTGTGATTGCAAGAGGCGCTAATATGATTGCAGGAGATGACCGTGGATGTTGCTTGATCGCATGAGATGTACCAAAACTCTTCATCATCATAGATCATTATCATTTAGATAATACGAAAACTCATCATTTTTTATTTTATTGACATGAGGTTTCTTCTATTTACTGTATAAGACAATGTTAATCACTGTGTTGTTATGATGTATACAATACTTTTTAGCTTTCCTGAATAATAATTTGGTTGAATAATATACTACATTAATATGCTACATTAAAATTGACATATAAAACTACATAAATACAACTCATCTTTTAAATGTTACGGTGATTTACAGTCTAGTAAGAAGAAAGACAAATAACTTGGGTCTATTATTGTGTCATTGTAATTTTTTTTAAATGAGGTTAAGTACCATTGACTGCAGCAATTGACAGACTTTGAAAATTGTATTTAACAAATAAATAGTAAAAGTAAGACAACTTACCTCCGCCTGCTCGCAAACATTCAATTCTTGCTTCTGCTTTCACTTTGGCAGTCTGTAATCCACAAAATATACCTAAATTGGAATGTCGGGTGTAGCTTAACAGCTACAACTGCGACTTAATAATCTGACTAATGGTTTCAAAATTAAAAAGTTAATCATAAACATTTAACATCCACTTAATAGTTAATATCCAAAGACTTCATAGAATTAACAGTAAAAAAACTGTTTTTTAATAGTAACAATTTGTTCTTTCTATTTAAATAAAAACTCTGATTGTACATGCACTACTGTTAAGTAGAGATTGAGTTTACATTCTCATTCTAAAGCTTAAACATAAAAATTAACATAGTTCAATCGAGCTACTGACAGTGGGTTCAAAACACCATTTTCTTTCTTTTCTACAATATTGGTAGGCCTACACTGTGAGATTGAACTACATTCTCTTGGCACGAGTGCCAACAGCTGGGTCATTATGGTGACTTACTGTCTACTTCATTGTCCAAATTCAACTATGAAAATATACCTTGCAAAGTATTTAATATTTGTTAAATGTAGAAGTGGGCAAACACCAAACATATAAGTTGATAACACTATAGCTAATAGTTAACAAGGAATGACAATTTTAGGTGACTACCAATACATCATCTTCGGGGATGGAAATGTATCTTGAAAAGAAATTGATACCTTACCAAAACTGATTAAATGGCTTGAAAATCATACTTCTGCCCTAATTTAAGTAGGAAATCAGTTAGTTTCCTACCTCAGATCTCCTTATTGATTGTCGAAGCTCGTCTATTTTCGTTTCCAGATCTGGTCCATTCGGATCATTAGGGTCATTCTGAAACAATGTAGTTCATATTTGTCAAAAGTATTGGTGTGTAAACCTAAACCATAACAACATGCATATATAATTAATTATACAAACAAAATAGTCTCCGGATTTATTGTTATTTCTATTTATTTATTTTTATTTTTTACATTGACTGGATCTCTACCAGCTGTCACACTCCTTTGTCTCCTAAAACTTGGTAGTGAGTGTGTTTAAGAAACCATGTATCAAAACAACAAGACAAATAAAAAAATTGACACTATGATAATACTACACATTCAATACCTTCTATATCGTAGTATAATTCATAAAATCAACTTTAAAACAAGTGGCAAGTTTAGCTAATTGGTTATGAAGCATGTATATCAGTATTTAAGGTGGTTACTTAAATTCACCCTGTTAGAATTTTCAACTTTTTTTATAGATTGCCAAAATATTTTGATAGTGACTTCAGCTAAGTAGCCGAAGGTAGTTTGAGGCGTTCACGCACTGCATCTTTCATGTTGCGCATACCTCACATAGTAGTACAGCATATGACAGGGCCTTTGTTGTAGCTGCCTGTCGTTTATGGAACAATCTACATTTATCCATTAAATTGCTAGATAGTCGTCCCCGGTTAGTGGCAGCACAAAAAAAAATTTACTTTGAGCGTATGGCCTCGGCTGGTGTGTCCTAGGACTGTTTTGACGCTTGGGTAATTGCTGAATGATTTAGTGTGCGAGTGATTTTGTTAGACAATTTTTGTTATTTTTAAAAAGTTTTTTTATGTAAATGGTGTTTGTGTAAATAATGTTTTTTATAGTCCTAATATGTATGCAGGTCAAGTGTAAGAAATAACTTTGCCAGTTGAAATATAGGATTTTTTCATTTCTTTATTTAGGCCTTCAGAACACAACATCGAATTTGACGCAATAAAGAATTCAGTCAGAAGGCAGCTTATATACACGCATTCATGCTCAGTATGCATGAGATGTCATGGAGTTTAGGTCAAACAAGAGGACTAAATTCCAGTTTTGTCAGGTCTGGTGTGAAGCTTGTGAGTAGTTTACCTGTGATAAAAGCCCTCCCCCCAAGGTGGCAGAAGTCTCCCTAAAATATCATTCTGTTCATGAGGGAAAACTACAATCAATAGGCATAATTAAATCAATGAATTGATAATTACTATTCTCATTCTCCATTCACAACATTTAGGCAGTTTAAGGGTGATTCCATCTCATCCAACCTTATCCTAACTTTGAAACAATAGCTGATCAAATGATCAGCTGATGTACCCATTAAGCTTTATGTACCCATTACGTGGTGTGGAGCCCTCAAAACCTGCCCTTAAACCACCTAAATTTCGTGAACGGACTATATTAGCTCAAAGGATTATTTAACGGTATTGTTACCTTTTGCCCAGAATCTCGCAAAGCTTGGAAGACTTGAAGTTTACGAGTCGATTCTCTGATATTATTGTTCTCCCTTGCTATTCTTGTGGCCCATCGTTTCGCCTCTCTTCTCAATGTTTCAACAGCAGATGTGTGTTCCGCTGTTATTTTCTCTATTGTATCGTTGTCACAAGGTTCAAAGTCATACGTTATATGTTGCTTTAATACTGGATAGTATAGGTACACACATTGTATATTGTAGTCTCGACTTAACTGAAAATCATCGGTTAACGTTAAAAACATACACTCTGTACCTCATACCTCAAGTCCATTTATAAACTCTGCTAATTGATAGAAATGGTTAAAAGATGCTCAAGAACTGCACAAAAAGTCACAAGGTAAAAAAGTATCAACATTAATTAATATCTTTAAATTAGTGATGGTCGGATCCGGATATCGGACTACCGGATCCGAGCTAGAACCGGCACCCGATCGGATCCAAAAAATTCCAGATCTTGGGCTGGATCCGGTTTTGATAGATCCGATTTTGTCCGATTTTCCCCGATTTTTTTACTAGCAAAAAGCTGTCTGTATCCATGTACAAGACCGATTTTAACCAACACAAAGCAAAGACATCCATGCTCAAGACTATCTGTGACTGTGTAGAAGAAGACTATCTGTGTCTGTGTACAAGAAGACTAATGTCAATATCACAGTACTGTATATTGCCGACGTCAACAATTTCTATGGTTATTCAATGTCACAGTTTTACTGTATATTGCCGACGTCAACAATCTCTATGGTTAGTCAATGTCACAGTACTGTATATTGCCGACGTCAACAATCTCTATGGTCAGTCAATGTCACAGTACTGTATATTGCCGACGTCAACAGTCTCTATGGTTAGTCAATGTCACAGTACTGTATATTGTCAACAACAATCTCTATGGTTAGTCAATGTCACAGTACTGTATATTGCCGACGTCAACAGTCTCTATGGTTAGTCAATGTCACAGTACTGTATATTGTCAACAACAATCTCTATGGTTAGTCAATGTCACAGTACTGTATATTGCCGACGTCAACAATCTCTATGGTTAGTCAATGTCACAGTACTGTATATTGCCGACGTCAACAATCTCTATGGTCAGTCAATGTCACAGTACTGTATATGACGACGTCAATAACCTCTATGGTTAGGCAATGTCACAGTATATGCCTCATAATTCTATTCTAAAAAAAAAAATTATTCTCAAATCCGAACTTTTTCTTAAGATTAACAAGAGGTGATCCAGGCATAAATAAATTGGATGCTGCATGCACAAATCACGATATAGCATACTCAAGATCTAACTATAGTAAAATATACACAGATACCCTTTTGGTGGTCGTGCAAACTTAGCACATAGTTTCATTTTAAGATTTTATAAAGTTTTAGTGTTTCCAAAAAATGAGGGATTATGGGCTGAACTGGAGATTACTCTATATATAAGGTATATTATCCTTTAAACATTACTAATTTAATTTTAAAAAGCATTATTTAAATTGGCATTCTGTTAATTACGTTTTTTTAACCCGCCCTTATGACAGTGTGTATCTGGAACCGGACATTTTCTTGGATCCGCCCATCACTACTTTAAATTAAAGTTTTTTTCTAGTCAATCTTATGAGTTCAGATGAATCTTATGAATCACTGAAAATCTAGACCCAAATCTTCAAAATAACTCAAAGGTCAGTTTGAATTGGAATTTTTTTTTATTATGATTTTGTAAGTCGAAACAAGAGCTGTAAAATTTGACAGACATCAAATTAGTTGACTGATCTCCTTGCCATAATACTGTATAAACAATTATTTTATTTCACAAGCAAAATGTTTAATTGATTAATTTCGAGGTTCAAAGGAGAGTTAACAAAAATGTAATGAAGATGAACAAATATTTGAATAGCTTAAAGCTTAAATATGAATTAGTATTCATAATGCCTTGATTTGTGTGTGGTAGGTTGATGTTCCTCTGAGCCTGCCCTATGACTCTTTTAGCGCCTAACCTTTTTTAGGCCTCTTTTAGAGCCTAAGGCTCTTTTAGCGAATTTCCCTATAGGGAAGTAGCTATTACTGTAGGTGGCACGGTAAGACCTAGGCCCGGGACCAATTTGCTTTTTCATTTTGATGTACCTAGAGGCCAAAAACACAAAAACACCATTCGTTCAAATTTTTATACATGTGTGTGTGTCTGTGAACACGATAACTTGAGTAATTGTTGTCTGATTTTGATGAAATTTGGTTTAAAGGTGTAAGGTGGGATAAACTTGAATGAGTTCACAAACCATAATGATCGGACCATGGGAAAGGGGTTTTATGGGGTAAAAAATGGAGAAAACTCAAAAAATTGTAAATTTAAAATTCCCATGTTATTTTTGTGGAGAAAATTGTAAAATGTTGTAGTTTATGGATATATTTTTATTTTTATCAAACTTGGAAAATTTATTGATTTTATACTAAGCTATAATAAAATTATTTTACTTAAAACACACTTTATTAGCTTCCTTCTAGCAGAAAACCTAGGAACTCGTTAAACCTAATGTTATTTAAAAAGATTAATCGAAAATAAATTCAGGAAAATAGAAATTTGCTTAGACGGCAGGTTTGCTGCGGTGGGGGTATTTAGTCTTTTTTTTAGAAATTGAATGTCCCAATGCTCTTAATCTAAACTGTTAGCAGGAAGAATTAAACTCGGTATGAAACATTGAAATGCATATTTCTATTTAGGATCTTAATAGTTAGCTATTTCCTATTTCTTTTACCTGATGAGCTTGTTCCTTTATTCTCCCGAATGAAGTCTGTGTCGCTGTACATGTGAGCAATTCTGTTCTTGCGATGAGCATCAAGTAATCTTGAACTCTTTCATAAACATTCGCTTCCATAAACTAGAAAGAAATACATTACACATTTTTTTAATTCATTTTATGGAACATTTGCTGTAAATAAGTATAGTTTGAACCAATGGCTGGCTATTTGATAGGCAAATTTGAAAAATATTTAGTGAAGACATTATTTTGAACCAAAATTTTAATTGTTTGAGGAATTTTTGGTATAGGATAGATTTACGGTAGCTTCCATGTAATATAGCTTTCCTTTTAAAGAAAACTCTTTCATTATTCACATGCATATCCCTTGCAATGTTGTTTTGAGAATAATTTTTAGTTACTCCTATCCTAACTAACACAAGGTCAACATCGGATAGCAAAATTATAAAAAATATATTATGTTCGTCTGTAAAGAAAATATTTTTTTTTTAGATTCTGTAATATCAATGTTAGCATTCAGATGTATTTTAGCTGCTTATTAACTATTTGTCTCAATGCATCTCAAGTTACCTATGTTGATAGCTCAATGAAAAACAGCTTATTAAATTTTGAAACCATGACAGAGATAGTTAACATTTTTGAAATGTTTTACAATACAAAAAGTAATCATAATAAAGGAGTATGCAGAATAATTTTTTTGACATACTTTTATAAACAATCCAAACTATTGTTAAACTAATAAACGTCTAGAAACAAAACATATTACTTTCATTTCAAGTTACGTATACCTGAATTACCTGAATGGCATTCTGCAAGTCCACAGCAAAGTATCGGATGGAGTGAGCGTTTGCTGCTGCTAGACTTAGCAAATAGTCATTCCTAGCTCCTGAAGACTTTTCTTCCAGTTGATCTCTTTTAGATGTTACCTAGAAATATGTGTAACATAAGAAAAACTCTGCCAGCATATAAAACCAGTAATAACCATTTTTTTTACCCAACATATGTTCATAACCCGCTTGATTTTGGAATACTAAAATGTCAATGGAGTTGACTGACCAGTAATTGTTGTTGTTTTGTGAACAAAAGATGGGAAATTCATATTGTAAGTACGGTAGAACAAGTTTGGGAATTTTTAGGGATTGTGAAGGGGTGTTGTAAGATGATCACTTATTTTGCTGAACATCAGACAAAAAGACTAAGCTTAGGTACACAAAAAGGCTAGTATTAGATTGATCAATGTATTTGATCAGGGGTCAGTTAAGATGTGGCAGTGTGAGTCGTATGGATGACATAGCGTTCTATTGGAGAAGTCAGAGCCCAAGGCATTTAGCCTCGAGTCTAGATAAGGAAACAGTGATGAAACATGCTTATGGGACAACCGTGCGCTTTCAGCTTTGGTACGTTGTGCCGGAAATATACTTGTGACGAGCAAGGTTAAACCGAAACGGTAAGTACTTTTGGATATTCCTAGAGCACAGTGCATAGGGATGAGCCTCCACCATTAGTGCTGCTCCATGAGAGTGAAGGGAGAGCTGCTGGACTTTGTGTTTCAACTTTTTTCCTGAAATTTATGATTTAATTTCAGTAAACTTTAGCATTTCCCAGATATAACAATTTTTGGTTTGCATTATTACTTTTTTTTGTTTTTAGTATACACTAGGGGGTTGATGATAAAGTATTACAGTAGACTCCCTCTTATCCGGACTTTTCAGGACCGAAGCCAGTTCAGATAACAGTTTTTCCGGTTAAACCTACGTCCCCAAAAACTCGTTAAAACGTACCATTTAAATACTGTAGTATAAAGTATTTGACTTAAATTTAGGAGAGCTTTGTATTTAGACACGTGATCACTGGTCTCAAATCTTTCCCACGAGAACAGTCGTTTCAGTACCGCCCACTTTCTGCTGATCTAGTCCGGTTAAACCGATGTGCTGATAAAAATTGTCCGGTTAAAGAGATGTCATTTCCGCCGAGTGTAGTCCGGTTAAACCGATGTCCGGTTAAAATGTGTCCGTCCGTATAAGAGGGAGTCTACTGTATTTGCAAGAGAGATTTCAGTTTAAACCTGGTTTAAGTTTTCAAAGCAACTGTGTATGAACCCTCAATGTCAGCTAAAAGGTTTAAACTCATTACAATTCGTTTGGCTTGTTTTTTTTTTTTTTAAAGTAGCTATATTTTGATAGTAAAGATACCTTTGCACTGTTTTTTTGAAGTGAAGTTATCGATTGGAAAAATGAACCTTTCTTCTTCTTCAACCTGTAAAAAAGAACAAAATGCCAGTACATTTAAGATTTTATTTGATGATTGATTTAAATAAATTACTTTGAAAATACATATAGAATGATCTTCATCACATGAATTTGTTTTCCATAATTTGATCCATACTATCCCAGCAGCATCGTCCATAGATCTAAATCAATAAATCTTTATTGTAACATAGTTTTTCAATAAAAGCGAAGCTATGATACAAGACGTGGCATTGTCAAAGCACGTACTACATAAGTACATTGTCAGAATGGCTGAAAGGCATTTGAAGCATAAAAAAGCGTAACCAGTTAAGTCAATTCATAAAAAAGTCAAAGAAATAGGAAAAATAAAAAAATTTTGTGCATTCGATTTATCCAACCAATATTTACAATGTTAAAAGTAAATCACTTGCTCCAGTTGCTCGTCTTTTAACAATTGACTTAGACAATGGTAAGTTTCATGAGAAAAAAGTGTGTAAAGCTGCTTTCAATGAAACTATAATGATCTTCAATTTTGAGTTTTGGATTTATCTTGTTAAAAATCTTACTCGCCATATACAACATCCTTGATTTCATATACTTTGCCAATACGTTCAACTTTGTGATTAGACCATCCAGAATAATACTGTGTCTACATCGAAACAGAGGGAAATTCAGTGTTTGCGTAGCCAGTACTATAAAAGCAGTAGGATTAGAAAGACTGTGGGTTATCTACAAATTCCTCCTCACTTGATCCAACTCATTTAAGGCTCCAAACAACATGTTTAGGGTCTCAAAACTATTTCAAATCTATGAAATTTGATTTCAAATCTCTATTGCAAATCCAGTCTACATAACACAAAGAAATTTCCAATGTAGAGTATTTTTTAAAACAAAAACTACCTTTACATTACAATGATTTACAGTTTTGAAAACTGACACCACTCAATATAGCATTTCCTTTTAACAGTCTTTGTAAGACCTCCCCTGTATTGTAAAAATACTTCCTTGATTAAATAGTTATTTATGGAAGATTGGAAGCTTTAAAAAGTGATTTTCCAGTCAATGATGCACAAAGCTTCATTAAAGTCTGAAGATGGCAGGGATGTTTTAATATCTAAAAAGTCAAAGATGTCTTTGGTATGTCTAATAGTGTGGATTATGTTTGCTGAGATCATGTTTATGGTCACAAATTGGCCAATAGTGGAAATAGACAATTCCTTCCATGAGGTAGAAATCAATCGGAATTAAAATTGTAAGGCCACAAAAAGAATACCTACGAAATTTCCGCATCCTCAGCAAAATAGATAAGGATGGCCTTCTTTAGAAGATGTAACAATCATGGTTGAAACTAATGCAGAACCATAGAACAAAGCAGAACGTTGAATGGGACTTAGTTAAAGATAAATTACTCTACACAAGTGGTCTATAAACCAAGGGTCCCGACTGAGTATATTTAAATCAACCTTTAAAGAACAAGAGTTTTGTTGATAGTCAAACCAATGTACAAGTATCGTTTCCACTCAGTAGTAAAATTATTCATTAAGAATAGTTGTTGGGAAGCTTCACTAGCAGTAAAAGGGGTTTAATCCACACAACTTTTCGTCCAATGAAAATCAATACACCTGTCAATCATGATTCTAATACAACAAATTTACTTCACTCATTAATAAATTGTGTAGATAAGCAGTCAAGTGTGAATGAGCAATAAGATGATTTTGTTCTTCTGTAAACATACGTGCATTTACAAAATATACGTGCTGTCATTAAATAAACGGTTTCAAAATCTGTCACTTACCTTTTCCCCCTCAGCGAAAAACACATTTTAAATATATTTTACCGCAGTTGTGGAATAAAACGGGATTTCAAAACACATTTACAAAGAAAATAAATTAAAATGTCAATTAAAAAATAACAACAGTTTCAACATATCGAACAATGGATATATCATCTAATCTATGTATTATAAAACTACTTCAAGAAATTTCATATAATCATTAACTGTAATAACTTTTGTACCATCGTGTTACAAATATAAATATTGTTTGTAGGGAAAGTTTCTGTAAACTTTGAAAAAACACCTAATCAAACTTGTTAGAGCTGTTTTTAAAATCTGTTTTTATAGGGTAATTGACCCTTCAAAGACAAAATTGAACCCAGATATATAGTAGTTTTGTAATTATCTATAACACAGCAAGAGTTTCCTCTGTGTCATCCATTTTTCTTTTTTTACAACTGATGTGTCATTTTAGCTTATTGTCTAGACGAGTGATGAATGGTAACTAAAAGGGTGATTCCCTTTAGGGCTTTGTCGCCCTAGTGTTTGATTTATTTCTAGAGATAGCTTTGATGGATCCAGTCCAGTGATGCTAACCAACTTTCTTTACAACATTTTGAAATGTGAATTGTAATTTTAACAGCTAATCCTTCAGTTGAATGTTTAACCACAGACAGATTAGAAAAACAAGAGATGAAACAGTTATAAGAACATGAATTTTAAATCGACTACTTTTGATAATAGTAGGAACCTAATTGACGATGGTAAATCACTCAAATTTAATTTATTCTAAAATAGTAGTTTTATTCACCTAACTGTCTTAAACAAACATAATTTTTTATAGGTAAAAGGGTATTTCGTTGGATTTGTTTTGCCTCCTAAACATGTTTTGAGCCTTATTAAAATGTGCCGGGTCCCCTCGTCTACTAAATTTCATGAAAATACAGACAATGTTAGGACCACTTTTAGACTCAGGTGTACCAAAAATCTAAATAAAAAAAAAATAGTTAAAAAATAATACTTCCTCTAAAGGTACTAAAACATTAAGGAAGAAAGTAAAGGTGGCACATTTATTTACTCACTTTTCTTCAATATCCTTTGCTTTATCCCGTACATCATGAGCACTGTGTTCTTCATCAAAGTAGAGCTTTTTTGTTTTATCAATATCTAGGACACATGCTTGCAGCTCTTTCTGTACGGTTGCCAACTGATCTACGGTCTAGATCAAACAAATACAAAACTGTCATACAAAGATTCCCTAATATGAAAGATATATATCTAGTTCTCATTTTTATGTGACCTACAGCTTCCGGTACGTTTGAACATTTGGGTCTGGCACTTTACTTCTAGAGTCGGGTCTGGCACTTTACTACTAGACCCGGGTCTGACACTTTACCACTAGACCCAGGTCTGACACTTTGCTACTAGACCCGGGTCTGGCACTTTACCCCTAGACCAGTCAATCCCTGTCACATACAAACCCATGACCTTGCTTAACACCAACTCTATGCACTCTTTTTTCTTCAAATGTTCCTCTGAGATGATGCTAAAATGATCTTAAAATCAAAATCAATTCTCAATATTTCCTGAATAATACTAAAGACTTGACCCTTTAACCCTGATCTCTATGCTATTTGTAAGTGTTGATATATTATCTAGATGTGGGTTCGGGACTCAGGTTAACTCTTAAGCTAAGGATTTGTATTGTGTATTTAGGTTGTAAAACTTTTACCTACCTTTTTAGCACTGATGATTTTGTGATTTCTCAGGATCTTCGCATCGTCTGCCACGTGCTGAGAGAAGACCTCGACAGCGGCTAGACGAGCTCGTGCGAGCTTCTCGTTTTCTTCCAGCACAGTTCGCCAAACATTCCACATGTTCCTGGAACAATGTTTTAGGGTTCAAAACCTAAACATAACATAATAGATTTACAAAATTTGTCCATGATAAAGTGAATATTACGCAAAAGAAATTGTGACATATTAAGTACCTTGTAACTGTTGTTTAATGATTAGTATGTGTTCTAAACAGAACTGTGTTATGCATACATCAGCAATCCTATGAAGAAGTAAGTAATGCTATTTAGTGTCAACATGTGGGACTTTAAATCTAGCATTTTTAGATTATAGGCCTATTTGTATCTAGCAAAACAGAATTCGGCTATGGCATCCATAAAGTAGAGGTCGTGCGGAACGAGGTGAAGCCTGAGATTTTCGGTGGGAACGTTCTAAAGCGGGGAAATCCATGGTGGGGGTAGGAGACGAGCCGATCGTCGCCTCGCATAGCGAAACTTCCCCCGCCACACCACTATTCCCCTCCAAGCTTCACCTCGTTCCGTACGACCTCTATATTCTTTCTTTACATTAATGTTTCTAGGGTGCACACCTCTAAAAATTATGTAAAATTATTAGGAATTTCAACATTACCATTTTTCTTCTGACCCTTCTGTCTTGATATCAGGAATATTGGGTATTTTCTTGTTTAAGAATGCTGAAGAAATCTTCAGAAGTGCCTGAAAGAACAAAGCTCTGTTTGTACAACATATTATTATGTATCTTAAAACATTAAAGATTCATCATCATGTGTATAAATGTTTTCAAAAAGCACGGTATTAGTATGCATTAATTATAGCCCAGTAAAATCGGTTGGCTTTTATAAAAATAAAATACTAGCTGGCCCGACAGACGTCGTCCTGTCCCAATGTGGTTTTATGTAATATGCACGTTCATTTTCAAGATGAGCTCGTTCGTATGGCTCAACGAACTTTAACCAGGACGTGATCCTGGTTAAAGTTTGTTCGCTACGCTCACTCACCTTTAGGTTGAAGCTCATTCGCTGCGCTCACTTGCCTTCAGGTTAGCTCGTTCGCTACGCTAACTTGCCTCCAGGTTGAAGTTTGTTCGCTACGCTCACTCACCTTTTGGTTGCAAATTAGCTGTTGTCATACTTTTAAACAAATAATAGTGCTGCACCGTGTTGGTAAACCTTTTAACTTTTTAATGCTATTGAACATCACAGAATCAAATTGTTTAGTTGAACCAGCTGTTAAGATTATTTAGTTCGATTTAAATATGAGTACTCATAAGGTTAACATGGGAAACTTCAGAGCCACTGAGGCGGAGCCCTTTGACGGATCTGCACCAAACTTCACACAAACCATCCTTGAATAATGCCTAATAAGGCCTGAAAGTTTCATTACAATCTGTCAAGTGGTTTCGGAGTCCATAAAGAACAAACAAACAAACAAACATACATTGGATTGTATATAGATAGATAGATGATAAAATAAATTAGTTGCTCCACCTAAAAACGTTTAAAGCATATGGAGTGGACCCATTCATTTATAACAAGGTCAATATAGGAAAAATTGGCCTGTAGCTACGTTTGGGAAAATAGATTTTTTTAGCATAATTTTAGCTACCGGTAATTAAGTTCTTAGTTTTATTTACATAAAAATATAAATAATTTTTTACAGCACTTACCTCGGAGTAAGATTTTTCTATTTGTGAGCGTTTGATTATAAAATTCCTGAAAGAAAACGTAGCTTATCAGTTATATACAATAACCTAACAAGTTGTCCACTTTATTGAAAATAAATCTTGTAAGTAAAAATACTAATATACACATCATTAACACACAACAATGCAACACTCTTTCTCTTGACCAATTAATTAGTAAATATCAAAATGACAGAGGGTAGGTTTATTAAATAAAGTTATTATTAATAGCTCCATGATAAACTTTGTTTGGAATCCTCTGTTTAATATGGTATTGTTGAGAGGCGTAATAAATTACTCTTAATAATAAATGTGCGTTGACTCTATTTAGTAAATGATGATTTCTGTTTGTTTGAAATACAATCACTATTCTTTTTTAAACTTGAACAATTTGCAAAATGGAAATGTATAGGCTATGACAGAAAAGTTGTATTTTTTACACAAATAAAATATAAAAATTATAGGTTCTTGTGCTAAAGCTTTAAAACAAAAATTAAGGACATGTCTGAACAATGAATTTAAGGTAAATTTACATTTAATAGAAACACTACTGGCATTTAAAGTCCAAATATATGACTCTTTCAAGTATTAGGGCCTTTTTAGTAGTTAGAAAATCCATAAAAGTTCCAGATCCCAGTACATTTTCATTTCTAGTGTATTGTAGCCTACATTCTATTGTAGTGAGCTCAACCAGTTAATATGCTGAATACAACCCTCTTCACCCTACCATTTTAGCTTTTCAAGGGGTTGATATACGTTTGTTTCATACCGCGGTAATATCACACAGCTGTATAATGCTCTAACACTATAAACCACACAAAAAACTTGTGTTGATTAGGTATACTTAAGTGTCCTGTGATGTGATTGATTTCAATAACTGTAGATTGGTAAGGGTAACTTTCAATATAGTCTGTTCACAAAATTTAGGCGGTTTAATTGGAAGGTTTCTTGGGTTCCCCCACCACTTTTTGAAGCTTAATGTAGGCTTAATATCAGCTGATCAGCTGTCGGCTGTTGTTTCAAAGTTAGGGCGAGGAGGAGGGGGTGGAATGGCTCCTCCTCAAATCGCCTATATTTTGTGAACGGAGTAGTCCTATAAGATGAGAATGTAATGCAACAATAAATACTGTGAACAAGGTATTAAACTAGAGAATATGTACCCTGTAACTTATTCACAAGTTTCGAGCATGTACTAAACTCATTTAATAAAAACCAGCACCTCCTCTGCTTAGCTACATCAGAGGTATTATCATTTGTATGGAAGAGATTTGTATACCCCTAGATGGAGTTTGGGAACAAAAAAACACATCAAAGACCAGAAACAATGGATAGAGACACAATCTCTTATTATGAAGCAAATATTTTACTGTCTGAAAAAATAAATTGGACACATTCTTGATATTTCAAGTATATCCTCAAACAAGTTAATTGACCCAATTCTACATGTGTAAATGACATAATATATCTTTAGTTCAAAATGTACTACTGCATGTTTAATGGATTTTTATGATATAGGTAATTTTGGAGATTATTTGTAATGTTTGGACTTACCAATTTCGTTAAGACAGCTGGAAGCATATTTAAGTGGAGATGTAACCTACTTAAAAGAGGAATCTATCTGTAAAATTGTTTGATTTCAATTCATGTTCTTTGGCCCCTGATCTGCTGAAATTTTGTAAGTCTAGATTTCCTATACTTAATTACCAGTATTTATTCACCTAGTAATCAATCTAGTCTTGCAATTAATTGTTAAATTTTAAAATTATAATACTCACCTAATATCTTCAAGAAGTTCACATTCATTTTGGTTTTTAAGTTGAAGCTTAGCAAGCTGCTCTGTATGCAGATTCTTAAGGAACTTTGCATAGTTGCCCTGAAACAAAAAACAATATTTTAACGAATTAACTTAACTAATTAACTTATTTATAATAGTAGTAGTTACATTATTTTTTAACATGGAGTCCAATTTTATAGTAGGTAGGCTAATATTATCTTGGTTATTGACATCAACGTACCGTACATTATAAGATACTCAAATATCCATTAAAGCAAAAACATCACTCAACTCTCATTATCCATTATAGGCTTAGAATGTTCAAATCAAATTGATTATTGCCAAAACAAAATACATTGTATAACACCATCAAACGTACAAAGAATATCTTAAATATTATCTATGGTAAAAGTTTTAAAACTATTTTAATGAAATTAAACTATCTAAAAATGCATCAACATTAAATACAGCTAAACTAGGTCATAACATTGCTACTATGCAGGGGCGTCGCCTTGGGGGGGGTAGGGGGGGGAGCCTCCCCCCCCTAGAATCTGGGAAAGAGAAAAGTTGGGAATTTCCTTGCCATGAGTTGGGACAGTTGGGAAGTCGGATACAAGAAAAATATATTTTTAAACTAAACAAAATTTAAATATTTGCAAAAATCCATCAAAGGGAAAAATTTCTTTGACTTGGACAAATAAACTTGACGCTTCTTTGATTTAATTTAACTTTGATTAAACAAGGCTAAACCATGGCTAAACACGCCTTATTTTAAGAAATCAATAATCAATTAGCGGTAAAGCTTGTTGGAATTTCGTTTACGAGAAATTTTGTTCCTTATTGGACGCATGTTGGGTACCTTGATCCTGTCCTGTGTTGATTATTCTGAATGATTCGTCTGCAAGTTTGAATTTTGAAAGTGCAAGCAATGTAGCTCTTCTGTTCAATTATGTTGTTTGTTAGTGTTTACAAGAAATTCAAAAATATTTTTCACGTCAGTCACATGAAATATATTTTATACCTTTTTTGTGGTATTTGGAGCAGGCTAACTGACCGGAGTACTTGCTAATAAGCAGATTAAAATAACATTAAACATAGGTTTTGTGTATCGGTATTACCTTTAAAACTCTTATTTTTTAATAAACTAAATGGAATATTTATTCTCTGAATATATTTTAAAAATCTACACAAGTTATTTAACACTCCTAATTAAGGATTTACAAAAATGAATCAACTAATCACTCTGAAACAGATCTACGTGGACAAAACATAACCTAAAATTTGATGTTTGACTTTCACTCTAAGTTTGATTTTTGTCTAAGTTCTAGTTTGATGAAGATGAAGGTTAACATTTTTATTGTATGTATAAGTTTATTATCAACCAAGTTGAACGTTTTTATTTTATACGAGTCTTACTTTAGGTTTATTCCTTTCTAGGCTAGAGTAATATTATTCACAACACTGATATTAATATTTCATCATTACAAACTTGTTTAGGCCTACCCTAGCTGTAATAGTACGGTGTGTATACAAAAAAAAGCTGCACTTTTTGATTGAGATATGGCACTTTCAGTGGTCATAGCTGATACCAAAAGGGAACTTTTCAGATAGGGAGCCACTTCAAATTCCGTGTAGGACACCAAAATGGCGGCCATTAAAGATGGCCGCCATATGCCCTAGTACTGTTGCACAATATTTGTTGTATCTCAGCTTCTAATGGTCTGATTTCAATAATTATTTTTTTTATATTAAAGCTGTTTTGTAGAGAAAACTTTTTTATATTTTACATTTAACTGTAAAACCTAAGCGTTCTGCAGAATCTTTATAAAAACTAAAAAGAAATAATATAAGAAATAAGTTTTGGTCCGTAACATTAAAAATGTGCTAAAAATAGTCAGATTTTTATGAAATTTGGTATAAACACGTATACCTACATTTATTCTAAACAAGTTTTCGAACCAGCATGACCAGACCATAAGAACGGCGAATTATGGGGTTTTATGGGGTAAAAATCTGTTTTTACCATTCTCGAACCTAAACACATAACATTTTGCAATTTCTTTCCAAACCATTATTTTGTAGAGCTTAAAAAAATAAATAATTTAGTATACTGAAGCACTGTTGTATGCCTAACGGCTATAGAGAAAATTAAAAACAAGCGTAAATTAAAAAAATTCCATGTTATTCTTATGGAGTAAATTTACACTGTTGTAGTTTACTTGTTTATGCTGATTAAATTGGTAAAATTTATTTATTTAATCCAATGCTACTAACGTTTGGTCAAAAAACACTATTTACTTTCCCCGTAGAAGCAAACCTAAGTACTCGTTAAATCTAATGTTATTTTTAAATTGGGATAAATATGTCTTATTTATGGAACATTTGAGTGAAAATGTAATCAGACAAGTTGAAATTCGCTTATTCTGCAGGTTTTCTGCAGGGGGGGGGGGGGTGTTTCTATTTCATACCATTTGTTTCATTCTGTTAGAAATGTCAATAGTTAAATTGCTTAAACTATGATTATTGTGGCATTTCGCTTTCTTCGTGTCTCTAACAGTCAACTGACAAATGTAAGTGTATTTGCTCCTATTAAAAAAAATTGGACCAATGTTGAACCAAAAACAGTTCTCACCCCAATATTAGGCCTACTGACATAAAAAATGATGTTGAACTATTTTCTAGGGCTTTTATTGTAAGCCATAACAGAAGGTTGGATTTGGAAAACTTTTTTCAACACGAAAAATACTAGTGCACCATCATCGCTTTCTTCAAATGACGTTCTTATGTCAAAATCTCAGCTATTGAAAATCCTTGAAGAAACCGTTGACCAACCACAATTTGAAGGATTTGGGGATACAATTATTTTCGATGGAGCAGCACTAGTACATGCTATTCCACCAAAAACATCACGCACCTTTGGAGAATACTGCAGTTCGGAATTCAAAAACATAATTTTCAATTATGCTGAGAGGTTCCATGTAAATAGAATACATATTTCATGGGATACTTACTCAAAAGCCTGTCCCAAGAAAGGTGTTCGAAATAAGAGAGGCGTTGGTATTCGTCAGCAAGTGACATAAGGAAATATGCTACCAATCAATTGGAGCGATTTCCTCCGCTACGATCAAAATTAACACTATTTGTGATGTCGACATGTTTGAACATAAAAGTTGCATTTATTTCAATGTTAAGCAATTGCGGGAATTCCCGTCATCAGCACCCAACGTGTTAAACAGAAATCTTCAAGTTACTTGGAGAACGTGCACTTTCCAATTTTCAAAGGACACATTGTTATCATCACTGAGATCGATGACATTATTCGTGTGGCTCGGCCTGATGAATCTTCAATTGATGCAGTCGAATGCAAGCAACAGGAAGAAGCTGACGGCAGGACTTTCCACCACGCCAAAGACAGTGTCGAACATGGAGCAAAAATGTCTTTATTTTTACAGCAGATAACTTACTGATGGTTGTTTTAGCAATATCTTTTTTCCACATCCTCAAAACTCCTGGACTTCAGGAGATGTGGGTTCTCTTCGGTGCTGGGAAGAGTTAAAGATTTATAAATATTAATGCAATATTTGAGAGTATGGGGATGGACAACAAAAAAATTGTCTATGGTATGGCTGAGCTCAAAGCCGTTGCATTGAGAGGATTTCATGCATTCACAGGATCAGATGTGACTTTATAATTTGCAATGAAAGGAAAAATGACAGATTGGACGGTGTGGAAATCATTTCCTGAAGCTACTACAGCCTTTCATGCAATCTGTCTACCACAAGAGTCAATTTATGACAAGACTTTACAAGTCCTGGAGAATTTTATCTTCTTGCTTTACTACAAAGATGCTGATGATTTCTCAGTTAATGGTATTAGAAAGTTTCTCTTTACTCAAAGAATCGTGATTTACAAAGTCTACCCCCAACTAGAGAGGCACTAAGGCAGCACTGCCTTCAATCAGCATCAGGGCAGTCCAGGTTTGGGGTCGAGCATGCTCAGTGAAGGAAACACTCCAGAGCCAGACGGATGGGATATGGACCAGGGTTGCTGAGGAGTGGACACCTGTTTGGTCTTCTCTTCCTCCAATTATGTCAGACTGTTTGGTGTTCTCTTCCTCCAATTATGGGAGCCTGCATAGAATTAGTTAAGTGTAGTTCCACTGAATGCCAACAAGATGCTCCTGTTAGAAGGCTAATGTTCCATGCACGCTACTTTGCAAGAACTGCTCCGGGTGTCGACTTTGTATCTATAACTAAGATGAATAAGATGACTACGTGATCCGAAATTATAGAGAAGCACTCAATTTACATGTAGACTCTTCCTTGTTTTTTTTTTATCATAATAGTTTGTTACCTCCTTTTAATTCCTGCTTCATACTGTAGTAAAATATGTGATTTTTCTAAAGCCTACTATCTCTTTTTTATTTACTTAATGCTTTACATGTCCCTTTTTCATTTTAAGACGAGTTCTTAGCACAACTTTAATGTTACGGACCAAAACTTTCATAAAATATTATTTCTTTTTAGTTTTTATAAAGATTCTGCAGAACGCTTAGGTTTTACAGTTAAATGTCAAATATAAAAAAGTTTTCTCTACAAAACAGCTTTAATATAAAAAAATAATTATTGAAATCAGACCATTAGAAGCTGAGATACAACGAATATTGTGCAACAGTACTAGGGCATATGTCGGCCATCTTTAATGGCCGCCATTTTGGTGTCCTACACGGAATTTGAAGTGGCTCCCTATCTGAAAAGTTCCCTTTTGGTATCAGCTATGACCACTGAAAGTGCCATATCTCAATCAAAAAGTGCAGCTTTTTGCCATATATAGCCCTGTACACAACGTACTATAAGTTTTATGAAAGTTAAAATGTTGATCTTAACTTCTAAAAGTATTTTAATTTCATTATTTTGTAATAAAATATATTTTCTATACCCACTAATTTGTACTCTGAGGCTTATTTTATATCACTAAAATTTTACACTGCTACGTCTGCTACCACAATGGTTTTTAAAGTTTTTTGGATTCGAAACATTACTTGTTCAAGCTTTTTGAAGTCATAAAATTTCATTATGAATTGGTAGAAGTTTTAGAAA